ATTATTATTATTATTATTATTATTATTATTATTATTATTATTATTATTAAAACGCCCAGATATATCTATCCAAAAGTGATGGCAACTTTTAATTAGCCGGGGGAGTTATACCGCCAGTCTCAATGGCCAGTGGAATGCAAACACTGTCCCAGCCTTACAAACGTTTGAGGCTCTGGCGCAGCTCATCTGATTTTGTTCATTTGCAGCTCCAAATGTACGTAGTTTGGTATTTTCATAGACGTTCAGATCAATAGAGATTCATTTATCGCCCGTTCGTCATTCGATACCTTTTAACTGCATGTTTGTTTGAATGCTGCTGTGCCGTAATGTGTACTGACCGTTTTATGAATTTGCAGCCGAAGACTGGAACGATACTGGGACCGACGCTCTTGATATGATCACATCAGTAGACTTGCTGCTCTCGAACATGGAGAAGAATGTCGTACAGGAGTCTAAGAAACGAGTGGTAGGCACGAGCTTTGATTGTTGCATTTGTGGAGAAGAATTGAGATCTCGATCTGCACTCAGTGTCCACATGCGAACACACTGTTCTTCGATGCAAATGGATGAAAGTTCCGGCGGAAGGTCGGGTCAACTCCCACAGACTGCAACGACTACGGTGTCTAGCGTTGATGGGCCATCGATCCAGTTGCGTCGACGACCTCCTCGAGTGCCTGTTGTGAAGCGCCTCTTTTTCTGCTGCTCAGTAAGTTGGATTCCATTCGTGTATTACGCGAGTCAATGTGACTTTTAAACATCCATACCGTCCTGTGCAGACTCTTCGCCATTCTACATATGGTTCTCTTCTTCACCAGCTGTGAAATTACCACAGATCAATTTCACGAAGAATTTTACTCGAAAGCTTAATTTTCAAGCGACTAGCCTTGATGGTAACTCATTCGTTTTTTCTCATGTGTTCTCGTTTTAGACGGCACAGGATTATCTGCCGTGCCCGTCTCCTTGCGACTGACCACTGTAGGCGTCCAGCAAAAATTGGGATTTTCAGTATTTTCTTTTTTATGGGAATCTAGTCAGGAAGGTAAACTTTGCCGCGCATCAGGAATTCATTCAGTGTGTATCGCAGAAAGAGTAGTGTTAGTCATCTATGTAAATCACACATTTTCCGTGTATGGGCGATATTTCTTCCTTTGCATCTAACTGCTTTCACCTACCACAATTGCTCCTCAATTCCCAACCTTAATTTACACAAGAAGGTTATCTGAGTTGAGATGGTTCAGTGGGTAGAGCGAGAATTTACTGACCGGAAGGTCCGCGGTTTGAACCCAACCTCTGCCTCTTGACTTCCCCTCTCTAGGCTTGGGCAACCTGGCAGCATCCCAGCCCTCGTGCTTCCTTAGGGTAGCATGGCAGCTAGGCACCGAAAGGGTGTCACAGCTGAGCGATTATCTGAGTCGACCCATTTCGCAGAAAATGTTGAGCTAACAACAAATGTAACAAATTCCCACACCCTTTCTCGCTTCATACCTAATTTTTTGTCCCCTCACGAGGCCGGTGCTTAAGCCTTCTTTTTTGCGTTTCTGATTATACGGGGATCATATATCGCATATCTTGATAGTTTGAGATGCCTTTGTATTTTTTGGCTGAAATTCTGTGTGCAATGATATTGAGGCCATCTATGACACTTAACGTTCGTTCAACTTTGCGCCCTGAATCCTGAGAAGGGTGTAATCAAGCCCTGGTTCCAGTTCGGAAGGTCTGTAGTTCGAACCCAGCGTCGGCACCCCGACTACTTCTACTTAGGCTTGGGTAACCTGGCAACCTTCAGGTAGCGTGGAAGCTAGGCACCTGAAGGATGTTACACCTGAACACTTCGACTGAATTAGATTTGGATGGTAAACGGTCAAGTATGAACTTCCACGAACGAATGCGCGGAACTCTCTGTACGTCACAAATCGTGGTAAAATGCTCGGAAGCCCCACAATGACAAAAGAAGGCTGACTGCCAAACTGACTAACTCATACAGAAATGGAACTTCGTTCCTCTGGATTCTCTCTGGTGTTTTTTTTCAGTCACTAGAAAGTTTCCGTTTGTTTTTTCACTACTCCTTGATTTTAATCATCGTCCTGTCCGTCATGTAAAGGATACCCGTCTCGCAGACAGCATAAGTCGGTCCACTCAGATATTGCGTTATAGTAGTCACTTTTCGCGCAATAAGCGCTGCGTATGTGTGCATGACCCTATCAGAACTACCAGGTCTGTGTTTGAACACAGACCTGCCATCTACTTCCTATCAATCGTTATCAAGCGCCTCTTTCTCCCTGCAAAAGCCGCTTATCATGAGAGAGCTGCCATAGTGACTCTAACCACTGAGAATCTAATCCACTTTTTCTGAGATCACTTTGGTAGCCATATAAACCGTCCATATTATCTTTATTATCAATTTCCCGTATGGATGTTCTCACACGATTGTGTACTCTAGCGATCTCAGTCTCTACTGCAGTCGGGCTTGCATTCAAAGGGCTCTTCATATCCGTGTATACTTTGGCATTGGTTGGCACTTTGACTAAATTTGACTAAATTAAATCCTTCATGGTCTGCTTTTGCCCACTCAGACGTCGAAATTTCCCTTGGCCTTTTGGTTTTCAGGATAGCTTTCAACTACCGTATTTGTCTAGGCTATTTTGGTTGGAGCTGTACCAACGCTGTCTGTCGGCGGGGATGCATGATTCACCCACGGTATGTGTATTTCCATGATGGAAGCGATTACTTTGGACTAGTTACTGTCTCCTTCCAACTCTACATTAATTAATGAACTGATGTAATAGCACCACGAAGGATACATTTATTGCTAAGAAGCCTATCTGAACTTCGGTGTCTAAAGTGGGGCCTAGCAATTTTTCACTGTCGTTAAATGATTTGTTTCGACTGAGTTTGTCATGTAAGGCTAAGTTCACTGTACGCCAGAAGGATGTTTCAGCAGCAATGTGGGATTCATTTTTTTAAACATTTGACCGCTGTAAATGACGGATGAATAGTTGGATCAACCCGTACTTCAGTTAAACATGACCACTCAGATTTGGTACTTGTGACTCCTCAAACTGTCTTACGAGAGAACACCCACAGTTAACCTTCAAAATGCTTCCACAGCTTGAAAAACATTTTTCTATAAGCCTCACTTCTCTCTCTGTATATGAGTTTGTCACTACCGTATTCCCAAACTAGGTATGTGGCAAAGGCCAGACAAGCCAAAAAGCTTTACGACAACACAGTGCTGTGCACCAGCGATCATCCGATGGTCGGTACCCTTGCCCTCTATGTGCTGCGCATTTGGACCGGAGTTACGAAACTTTTCAGCAATTGCAGCGCCACATTGGCTTTGTTCACCACCCCCGGGAGCTTTTCCCTTGTCCTTATTGTGAGAGAACGTTTGGACGAAGGAAAAATCTGGACAATCACCTCGTGCGACACACGGGACGCCGTGACTTTGTTTGTCCCTATGAAAATTGCAAGAAGGGTTTCGGGCGAAAGGATAAGTTGAAATTACACCTTAAGACACATGTAAGTTATGAAATTTGCATGCATTTATCCGGCCTTAAAATCCACTAACCTCTTCCGCCCAGCACCAAACTTATTAGTCGGTGTTTGCCGGTGTTCTTCTAGCCCCAATGACATTCCGTGTACAGGTCTGATTACGGTGTAACAACTCGCAATTATTCTTCTCCAGAATGTTAGTTGCCTAAATGATACGGGCGAACGTCACAAATCCCCGTACTGATTGTACGTGCGAATGACCGCTTACGAACCTCGTTAGACTAACCTTAGTGCGATTTCTATACTGTGTCTTGCCTTGTTTTACTTGCCAGTATTCGGAGAGCCGAGTACTCTTAATTTCCGGCGCAGAATAATTCTACTTGGTGACGAGTTCAACAGCATTTAGTGCTGCTCAACTCACTGTCGAGCCGAGCTGACTTTCCTCGAGCAATACTGATATTCTGTCGGGTCCAGAAGTCATTACTGGATCCACGTTTAAATTCTTCGGCTGCATAATTGAGCACATACTTGATTCAGTGTTGCTAGTTCGCTTGGGATGTATTAGTGCCTTCGATTCCGTAAGTTGAAGTGATTATGAGTAGACAGTTTGTCGCAAAGAGACTGTTGTTCATGTAAATCTGTCTAGGCGTGCATAAGGTTTATTGTTGTATGTGCAGTTGGATCCGCTTCAATAATTGAGTCTTTTACCACATTTTATTTCAGGAACAGGCTGCGGACTTTGGGACCACATCTTGCTCGCAATAGATTCAAAGAGCTAAGCCAGTCAAACTCATACTATCATACCAGATTACTTTGTTACACATTTTTCTCGCTGATTTCCATCATAAACGTCTTATTCGTAACGCAGTATACCTTGGCTCATCGCGAATTTCCGGGGCGAGGTGTATGCGTAGTGAGGAAAATAGTCGCAGTAGCAAGAGTGCTTTCCAGAAGTTCGTCTTTGAGCCCGGGATACCAGAGTGCCGCCAAATTAATGGTTGGACGTATCCAAATAGTTAACCGGCTGTTCTCGTGTTGTTGTTTTTGTATTTCCGGTCCCTTCATCATGTATCATCCACAGTCATGCTGCAACGACTAGAACCATGAGTATGCATAAGGTCCGCGGTTGCCAAATTAATTTGAATGGCCCATACGGGAATGCTTCGAGTGCGACAGTGCCATTGCTACTTCTCGGGTATATTTTTCCTTTACGAGGGATAAACTGCTAGTATATATGGGCAGTTCGGATGTGTGTGGTGGATCGAAACACTGGTGAAAAAGCATCAGAATAGTCGGTTTGCACTTCCTGTGTTCTACAAAGAGGAGTGGGAGGAAGGGCGACTGGCATCTTCATACTTCCCGAGTTCCTAATAATCACCGTTATCTTCCCCATTAATTTAGAATATATTTTTCGTGATAAACCTTATTTCTTAGTATGTATCTCAGTTTAAGTGACAAAAGACACTCGTTCTCAGTTGGCCATACTAGTCCACCTTGTTCCACTGGCATGCTTCAGTCACGTGCGCTTCGGACAAAGCACTCCACTATCTACAGATGGTGTTCAAAACGCCATCCGTGACGACAAGTGTTTTACCACGGTTCTTCATGCGCGCGATACGACTTCTATTAATAATCCCTTCTGTGAAGAATTATTCACAGGAGCTTCCTACAAGAGGTCATACTGTACTCGTCCTACGAGTCATTCCAAATGAATCCGACGGCCTCATGGGAATGCCAGACTACTGTCTTCTAGTGCTCGCATGGGGCCTCCGTCGCATTGCTAGGGGGTAGGTCGCACAACCTGAAGAGGTGAGTCGGCTGACCAAAACCTATGTATGGAACGGATCCAAACGACCCAGCTATCCATATCTGTAAAACAGCGAATAATATGGGTAGTCTGTCGTATCATTTGAAGCAAAACGTGGGTAACTTTAGAAAATCAAACGATAGGGAAGTTGGGGTGTTTTAAGGTTTGTTTTTGGGCTTCAACTGATGACCAACGCCCGCGAACGGTTTGAAAGAGACCGGTTCTTGTGCCTATGAGAGAAAAACGTGAATTCCGATGAGTAATAACAAACGATGGGAATACATTCATGTCAACAAATAAAGTGGATATTCCGAGTTTGCTCACTGACTGGACTGCGTCTCCTGTAGCTTTTCAATAGGCACATGAGACTCTTGCGACCGACGTATGATACATAAGCCTGTCTTTCCAGGTACCTATGTGAGGTCGATATGTATTAAGAGAGGTCTGCTTTCGTCTCACACGTCCCCAATGAGTGCACAAACATCCGCACATCCAAAAACCCACTTCAATTTCCTATTTTAATACCGGGATATCTTAACACGCACACAAGATACTCTGGAGGGGCAGGGTATTCTTTTAAACCTAGTGACGTTGACGACGAATTCTCGGTAAATCTTGGTCAGAAGCAGGAAGCACAATCGACTCAACTTTTTGCCGGGACTCAGTGATGTGACGCAAAAACATGGTATGATTGGTAGGGTATTTTTGACATCGCCGAGTGATTTCATGCGTCATCTCAAACAGGGTAAACAGTTTAGGAAACACGGTATTTCAGAACGACATAATATGCGAAGAACTCCAACTTTTAGAGACTTAGTTTCATGAGGGGATATTATCTGAGAGTAGTCGACTCAGTGCAGCGTCTTTTAGCGGTTATTTCTACCAGAAGAACACTTCCATCCAGGTGGCTTCTCCAGAGTACAGCAGCACAGATCCGCATCACGCTGCCTAAGTGACACAAAACTAATTTCTCAGTGGTCAGTTGAATGACGTCTTACTTGATATGATGGAATTCGGTGTTCTTTAAATGAGAAATCAGTTTATAGAGCACACGTTTAATCACTCAAGTTACAGCAAACATCACCTGTCTGTCAAACATGCTTGTTCATCGAAAAATGAGGCTTTCAGTCGCCAGTTATTTAACTGATTTTAACAAATGTGGAAGCGGCTATTATCAGGAAATGACAAAAAGTTACCGTCCTTGGAAACCTAATTGTGGAGGGGTTTTTGCTGAGAAGAATTCCATGTGGAATTTGCACTGAATGAAACTCAAGAGCTTCCGTATGATTCGTTTGGAAGTTCAAATATAAGCATTCAAACCTACCTGCTGTGAGCATGCCTTCGTGTTTCGAAAGAAGGTAAGGCTACCAGGTTGATATGCGTAGTTGGGGACACCGCTGAGGACAGATAAAAATCACGGTAGTGTGAATCACTCTGATAACTATCAAAGATTATGCGTAAGATTAGCGGTCCTATTCTGATCTTTTCGATAGGATTGGATGGTGTTATCACAACAAATCTCTAGCGTAAACGACGAACATCAGGTCGGTAAAAAACTATACGAAGAGGCCTTCAACTTACCGTTCATGTTTGGGCAAAGTGGCATCTGTAGAAGCACGCCCAGGACTTGCGGTCGTTTTCCCCTTTCCATCAAGACGATATCCAGCTCCACTGAAGGCCTGAAGTGAGAGCGCGAAACAGTCAATATGATATGAAAACTGAAAACCGAGATTGCGAAAAAAATTGACGATTCGAGAGTCACCACTACAAATCTTGCGGAAAGGCCCAGAATTCAAAGGTAAAAGCAAACTTAAAGTGCAGCGTAAGTGCCACACATGTGCTTGTACACATCTGTTCGATGTGACCTACCAGCTGAGGACCTTCGTATACTCTATTTATTTTAGTATTAGTGTCTGCGTCGAATGATGGGTGTCAGAAAGCGTTCTCACGACACTGTACGGGTCTCCAAACTGGGTCAGTGGTGTCGGTTGCGAAGGTTCAGTTATGTTTCCCTCAGGCAATATTCTGAACTATCCAAATTGTCCCTAGCATCAGTGCAGTGCGGAAAGTGGAGCTATTGCACTAGAAGACCTGGCTCACGGCAGCAGGAGATGCTCCTGTAGTTCTGAGACCTAAGGTCGTTCACTGAACTCAATAACGGAGAAACTGACCAATGCCATTTATTTTATACAACACACTACTCATAATTTGCAGGTGAAAGTATTTCGGCAATTCGATGTTCGGATCTTCCGACGGACCGCGCTCATAGGCAGCAAACGTTCGCCTATCGCCGTATCAGACTCACGCCGCCCCCCTCCCCCTTCGTCAGAAAACAAACCAAAGTAAACATCACAATAAGAACAGAAATGGATCTGGTAAACCTCTGCACACTTCTGGTGTCACTCCGTTGAATGCCGAAAGACGAAGCAGTCAACACTTGTGTCCAATCTGGTGAAAATTGAATGGGATGCCCATGAAATAAAGTTGGTCCCTTCCACGGAAGTTTTGTAGGTATTCATGATACGTACCAGGCGAACGTCTTATTACGCCCAGGATCTCCGAGTAAACTGACAACAAGTAATGATAATAATCTTAGTAGAGCAATAGTGATGCTTTTATGCGAGCATCCATACCATGGAACTGGACACTGAAGAAGCTCGAGATCGCATTCGGTGTCGATGGCATCGTTTCGTACTCGTGTATACAGTCGTTACATTTACCACTGTCCTATCCGGGAAAGTTTATCACTGTTTTTACTTTTCACAGACAACCTTAACATTTTACGAAGACAGCAAGGCCAATGAAATATCAACCACACCCAATTTAGCCCGAATAAACCCATCAGATAGTCTTTTTTGCCTGAGATGACGCTCAACAACACTGACAGCTTCTTATGCAACGGCAGTATCTTTCAGATCGTTGGTGTTTTCCCTCAAATCTGGAACATACGATAACGCTAGTTCCGCTTCGACGGAGGTTCTCGTGACGGAACCAGAACACCAAACGGTGTTCCAACACCACGTTACTATCCTACGATGGCTGGTGTGGATTTCTCATGGACGCTCATCAGTCTCAATACTGCATGCAGATTTTTTGGTTTGTACCATGTTCGATTTTTCGCCACAAACCATGCAATAAAGTACGGTAGTTCTGGCTGTCACCAAGGATAAGCAGAATAAAGGTATGAAGGGCAGGCACATGCTGTGGATGATTGCCCAATCAGCTGGTTGGCATCAAAGAAGTCTGTTTGTTTGTTTGTGAAGGCGACCATTTCAGTCAGGAACGCCGTTGGGTGCGTGACGCATCTAACTTATGGACTGACCGCCCCCGGAAAGTGGCTTTTCTTGGAAAACATCTGGCGTACCTCAGCATTACCTGTAAGATATTTCCGCGGAGGCATTTAGGCTCAAACAAAGAATCTTCGAAGATAGCCGCACGCAGCGGCCACATCTCTATCCAATAAGGTAGGGGACGTCGAACTGCAAAGCTGTACAGTCTATTCTTAGTTAAAGTCACGTCCGCTCCCTAAATGCCAGAGGTTGGAAAACTGTCCAGGTCTCTCCAGTTCGAATAGTGAATTCGTCTTTCAAAAAGACCATGAGTAACAACGACCCCAAGGATTATCCGCAACGCACGAGACTAATTTGCGTGCTGTACAAAATGCATTTGCTTCGTATCATCTTCCACCTCATGCGACAAACATACCCAGGTCAGTTGCACCCATCGATTGTAACGTCCGGTAAGACAAGTGATTAAAAATTCGAGACGATGTTCCTTATCGATAAGCAAGCCAAATTGATGGCATCCCTAATTTGAGTATCCCCAGGCCTTAGGGAATCGCAAATGGTAAATCACGGGATTGGTGGAAGTGATCTTGCCTACAATATGCATCCTATTGGACATTTCTGCCGTTTACATCACACGGCTCGTATCTTGACGGAGAGCTTAATAATGACCTGTCCTACTGACGTGATCTAACATCTGCCAAGTTAACGCGGCAAAAGGTTTTAGAAAGGCGAAATTCCCCGTTGGAGTTGAGAATTCGTTTGGATTCATCGATGCTGACTGGTCAATGGATAAAATCATAGTCAGTCTCTACAAAATGTTTCAATTCATTGAAAACAGAAAATACTTACTTGAAATCCCTGGACAACATTTGGAATGACAATGTGATCGCTCTCTTCTGACTGAAACGTAAGAAACAAGGGGGGTCAAAGTTATAAAAACCACTTGATCTGAGAATGCAATACGGTAGTGAAGAGATCCAAAACAAAGAAGCAGCTGCGATTACGATCATCGGAGTCGCTGCTGAAATGCTGTTCGCATTGTTAAACCTCAGGACAAATACCTCGTAGCGTAACGCTAGTATAAGGGAACCCAGAATGGAAAGTGTTTGTTCGTGAGATGTTTTCCAGGTTATGGTTTATCAAAACCGATAGCAGTCCCGTCCGCTGATCTTTTATTGTTGCGTCTTTTACAAAAAACTGCTCACACGGAGGCCTTCTGCGCGTTGTTGTTCTCGATCAGCAGGAGGTTCATTTGCAACAATTCCCTAAAAACCTAAGTAAATATGCACCATTTGTAGACCTGTGAATAATGAGTTCCCGTGGTGCATAACTATTTTCTCCGGCCAGAGGTACTGCGCAGGGAAGGGGGTGAATATCGCTGAATACATTTTTGGATCGCCTTACAAATCACTGCAGGATGTGAATAATTCACGATACCTCGATTGATGCAGCTGAGCTAACGGGGATTGCAGCAATTATTATTCTACAGCTTGAACAAACAAGTAGTCGAGTTTCATACCCTGCTACCCCGTCAATTGCAAGACAGCGCGGTGATGCCCACTTTGGGTTAAAAGTATACATTTAAATAGAGTTGTGCAAAGAGCATATACTGTTCACTGACAAGTTGCTCCTTATCTATGAGACAGAATAATATAAAATGGAGCAGTTACGAAATCGTCGAACCATGAAAACACTGACCCACCTTGCTTGTCTGCTTTTTGTTTTTAGCTTGCTGTGTGCGAACGTTTTCCTCATAACCGACAGGAGGGGCGAAGTCCACCTACAGCACAAAAGAACTCATGACGGACAGGAAATAAACAGCATACATTCATATCACACTCAATGATTGTCACGGCTTCTTCCGGTTTCGTTTCTAAAACCTTCAGCTCGTAGGTGCGCTCATTATAGCGAATCGCTATCATATCTCCGACGGTTAGGCAGGCAAATTCTCGTAAAAGATTCTCCAACCTGATAATGAAAGCTCATATCAACCACAGGAACCTACACTGCCTGTGGGTTTGATATATCCAAGAAATCAACGCTCTGCGGCTGAAATCGGGCGAACGTGGCAGTGCGAAGAGCTGCGTTGCAGACGGAAACTCGTCCACCCTCTTCCAAAAGCAAATTGCGCAGCATCTGGAAGAATCGATTGGCAGTTGCCAGTGATTGACACACTTACCCAATAGGGGACATATATGTTTCCTTCATCGGCGACAAATTCTAAAACGCCACAATGAGTGGTACGATTCCCTTGCGCATTGGTGAGCTTGAAGATCATGGGATATTGGACATTCAAACGTGCTGTAATTGAGAATACTCATGACACCAATCGTTAACCTACTGAGAACCTCGAGGGCAGATGGAGGCATGATTACTACAAACCAATCGGAAAGTCATACCAGGCTTACTTTTGCCACCGTTTTCAACACCTTGTCGGAGTTTCCCAGGAAAGAAGGACATTGAGAAACATCGATAAGATGTTGAGAAAGAATCCGAAGCATTCTGGTCAAACTGAGGAAACTGGAACAAATGTCTTTCAGATTACGAGCAACTACCAAGAAACTCATGTTCGATGTAGAGTGAAAAGACGTTCTACGGGAGAGCCGTGTGCACGAAAGTCACGAGATGGTGATACCGAACAGAAATCCCGTAAATGAAGTGCCTGGAACCAAAGGGTGAAGGATAGACAATGAGCTGAATCCGATTGGGACTACCTACCATTTTTTAAGTTGTACACTCACCAACTCCTCAGATTTGGGATTGTCCACAGACAACGAGGTGTTGTTAAGAATGAATGAACAACCAACACCGCTGACCCATTGGAATATCTAGGCGCAAGCAGATACCAAGTTGCGGCCCGGTGCCCAGTACTTCATGTTGCAAGAACTAACACGCCAACGAGCCACTTCCAAATAGGAACACTTGATGGACGTGCACAGAAATGCGGAAACGCTAATTCGGTCAGCCAAGAGTACTTAAGTAGCACGTTCGCAATACTGTCATAGGGCTGGGCCAACTTTCCAGAAAGGAGAGATATAATAGCCTGATCCGATAAATGAAACATGGGGAGACCTGCAGTTTCACAACGCCATTAATAAATAGGTCCCTCCAGTCTTTTACCAAAAGATAAATCGATATAACTCTTACTTCGGATCGATATTTAGTCAGGATTCCCCATAAAGGTTAGTGAAAGTGTTCTTCTATAAGTCACGGATCCTGACCTAAGCATACCTCCTCAAATACAGGCATATCCTACAAGGTAGGTGGTAGTCAGCACAAGGCTCTTCGACCATCCAGAACGGTGCACAGGTCCCATAACTTGACGGAACTCGACTGAAGAGTAACTGGAAACATGTTACTATCGCAGATAAATGTATTTCGTGTTTGCAGGAACTCCGATCACCAGGAGGTAACTGAGAGCTTATTCTTTCAAAAGTGTCGTAAAAAATCTCCGAAGACTGTTCATTTATAGGCCACCAAGGGATGCACCAGATATCGCTGGGGGTGTTTTTCGTTACAAACAGAAAGGAACAGAATCCAACAGAGAAATTAAACAAGATGCTGAAGGCTTCGAACTTATCCACTGAAGCGTAAAAGTCTAATGTGAGTACCCGGATCACTAAAATTACCCAGCGCTTCATGCAACAGTACGGTAATCAAAACCTCACAACGCTAAAACTACCCATCACTCGTGCTGAATACAGGTCGTAGCCCACAGATGCATCATTGAAAAAGTAAACAGACTAAGTATCCCGACTGAATACTATTTCCGCGGAAAGCTCTCAGCGTAATGGGGATGAAAAAATAAGGGCATGTTATGGTAAACGTGTAGAGGACTGCTCGCGCCATGGAGAAATAAATATATTCATGCACTTGAAAGTTGCTGTTTGACAGGCAGTACTGGCTGGTATCCATCAGTCCCTAACGACTTTATTAGAGGAATACGAATTTACATGCAGAGATGATAGCCCCACGGAGAAACTGACAGCATCATAAGTCGATCGGATGCCATCATGTGCTGCGTGCGACCGGCCATGGCCTACAAATATTATTTTTCCTGCTCAGCTATGAGTGATATGTGTCCCGGTATAAACACAATAAACATGATTGAGTACCCGAGAAATACACTCATTTGCAAATCAATTTGGTTTTCACGAAAAACTCAACTGAATCTATCGTTTATGATATTCTACAACTGCATGTGCTGCACACAGGCCACCCCGTGAATCAGTTGGCATGATAAGCGAATATCGTGTATTTCTCGAAAACAGTCCGATTTGGGCTCAAGTAGAACATAAGGTTGACGGAAACTCGGGGACTGCGGCTACCTGATGAGCCCCAAGAAGGGCGAAACCGGTCGTGGGCTGTCGAAGAGTTTTCAGCAACTTTGTGAGTAGTTTCCCTCATGATTGAGTATACTTATGGTACCTTGCTTTATAAGATGAGATACATGGAACCCTCTGCGCTTTTGTGGAAACCCACAACAAACGGCCAGCAGTATCACTCGTTTCCGTCCGTACTGTATGACCTTACCATCGGGGGTTTAGGCCCCTCTGGATTCTCGTGTCCCGCTAATACGTAGTGATCTTTCTTCCTTTTTCCTAAATCTGAAACATGAAAAATCACAAGGAATGTTGAGCTTTGGGGTTGTGAAGACCTCACATGATCAAGGTATACTCCTAGTCATCCGATCGAACGAAATAAGGAAACTTAAAAGAGCCATCTAGAGAATTACAGTGCCACAGCAATTGAGCTAAATAACCTCTAGAGAACTTGAAATTCGCTTTTATTCCGATCCTATGTAACGGAACCCCATGTCCCGTGAGAGACCGATTTTAACTAACGAAAAAAACTATGCAAGGAGTGTCATCCGCAAGCAAAGCACCGAGCCTACAAATTACATTTCATATTTGGCTGCGACCAGCAATGAGAGCTAACCTTTCTGAATAAACGAAGTGTACAAGTTAAAAAAAAGTCTAATGGATTGATGTAGCTACGGACAGATTCCGAATGGTGAGCAACGAGAGGCTTATGCAGTTGCATTACATGACCCAAAACCAGATCGGCCAGGAAGTATCTGTGAATCATCAGGGTCAACACTGATTTTGCTGTCTTTGATGATCAGATCTGCTAGGAAACTATGGACGCCCACCACAAGTTACTGCTTCAAAATTATAAGTTCACTACCATAAGGTAATGAACAACTTAGGAAATCATGGCAAGTTGTTTCTTCAAAAAAACATACAAAGCTGTCAAGAGCGTTAGGACATGAATCGACCAGATTTAGTGATAACAGAATGAGGAATGAAAGCCCAAAACATCTGAAGCCTGGAGCGGAATCACAGCTCATCTTTGGAAATGGCCGAACGAGTTCGTTTCCGGAATAATTTCATGAATGCGATCATTTGGAAGAACAAAACCAAGGCTATGAACAGAGCGATCCACACAATCCGGGCACATCGGGACCCAAGCTCTTCGGACAACTGCTGCAGCACTTTAGACATATCGGCTGTATTGCGGTCAGCTTGCTGAATGGTCGCCTCAACAGTCTGGCGATCAGATTGCAAACGGTGGCTCATCGCAGTCGATTGGTCCTTCAGTTGTCTCGCCATTCCAAGCATTTCCGACGCCAACTCCTCGCGGTGATCCTCCTCTTTGCGCAACAATTGAGAACGCGCCACGCGTTGCTTTTCTGGTGGCTCATCCGTAGGCGATGATTTATGCGGCTCAGGGGACGACCGGTTTGAATTTAGCCCTGGAAACAACAAGGCGAAGCAGCAGGTGACCTATATGAAGCACATGGTGTTACCAACCAAACCTACCTGCCTACGTGATGGGAGGTGAGATAAAAAACATGACTTAGGCATTGTTTAGTTTGACGAAAAGAACTAGCGGCAGACTGCTGAATTAAGAATGTCGAAATAGTAATAACTCGGGTGTGTTTGCTAATGAATGATCGGTTCCCAAGTTCAGCACTTGTCTTATAATCATTTCGTTACCAATCGAGAAGATATCGTCAGTGCGTACATCCAACTTCCGTGAATCTATCATGCTCCCTGTCGTGCCCTAATATACGACCGCTCTCTACTTAAACCTGTGAGGTGGAATCCCTTACTTGGTTTGCATATCACAGCGAACTGCACCGATGAATCCTGACGCGCAACAATTATTAAGGCATAAAGTTAACGTTGAGCCGCGTGCGCAACCAGCTGAAGCTTACTGTAAACTTCCGGACAAAACGAGGCGAATAATACTAGAGGGTAAAAAGAAGGAGGGCGATTCTAAAGCCACCAGCACAGCAAATTAACGGTTCACCGTTTTCAAAATAACAGAACTAAATCGTGTAAGCTAGGGATGACATGGTGGCCAGTGGCATTTACCAGAAACAGCCACGGCAATATATGGCCATATATTGTTGGTTAACGCTAAGTTTATTCTGCACAACCGTGGGTGCACAAAATCGCCCCCAGCACGGTTGTAGGCTTAACTCTGCGAAGTGTCCAAACCCCTGCAGACACGCGAATTACGGAAAACAGCGTATGCGAAATAACGGTAAGTCAGAAATAAAAAAGAGACAACCGGACAATTCAAACAAGAAGTTGGAGTGGCCGACCATATAAAGCCTCTGCAAGTTCAGGTAGTTGTACCTTTCGTGATGACAGCACCGGTTTCCTAACTCCAACTCATTTACCCCTCCACACACACATCAAGTAAGTGGCTTGCTATCCTATTGCTTTTAGACACACAAAGCTGAATGGAGTAGGGAAAAACAATCGAAATGATGACCAACAAAACGGGCAAAACGCTTAGCGACACAGGTCGTTTGTAAGTGAGCGGGTTAAACTGAATTTGCTCAGTTGCAGGCGGTAACAGGTAAGAGTTCCTTTTGAATATCTGGAGACAAAAGTAGAAAACATCTGGCAAGGGCAATAAGCTCGGTGTCAAACAATTTTTTGTGTACTATAAATCATGTGTACGCTGGTTCTAGCCGTTACAGTTTCGGTCAGCGGAAAACGGGAGGACGGGAGAGATAAAGGCAGACATTAGAGGTGATGGCACAATTAGTTGATGTTGAATTATTCCAGCTGCTCGAAGAGACAAGAAACTGGGGAACTAGGTACTAAATGCGATAGCTTTGAAGCAGCGGTGCCACTGATTGCGCGATTGAGCCATTCCTGTGAGTGTCACTAAAGACTGACGTTCAGTCATGGGCTCCCCATTCAGGTAGGCGACAGCCATCAGCCCCCACTGAGTTTGTTGATCAGTGCTATTATACTTCATTTGCAGATCACAAACTGGGTCGTTTCCGCTCAGCACAAGAGGTGTGTCATCCCTCTTAAGACCATGTGGCTTACTTCAGTATTGCTTACTTCAGTATTCCTACCAAATCCGACTAGTGCTTCGGAGACACCTATGGATAAACACTGACAGCTTTCGTACATTCTCTACGAACAGAGGTCATTGACTGGTCTGGAGGCACGAAGTTTGGGTTTGATCCCACACAATCTCGTAACAGCATCTTCAAGTCTGTAGGTCTGGAGCGCATACTAAACAGTGCGAAAGAACCATTTGAGTTATTTAGAATGACTTGCATTTTTGAAGGATCTGAACCATGCTGACCGCATGCCCGCCAGAGAACGTCCCGGGAGAATCTCCACCCTGAAGAAAATGAATCTTCAGGCCGCATGCCCATAATAAATCTAAAGAGCAATGATGAGAGGGGGCAGCCTTGTCTTACACCACTATGTGTGGTGAACTCAGGTCTCAGATGTCAGACGTCATACAAAGAAGAGAATCTGGGCGGACCAAGAAGCCTGGTGATCCCAGGCACATGAGGGGACAGAAAAACCTACCTAAACTCTTCAAACTCAAAGAGGTCCCTGAAGAACGAGTCACTAGTATAAATGGCCCACTTAAATAAGACTCAATTCAAATGGCCACCTGTAGCTGCGCCGGATAGCAGATCCGCAACGTAGCCCTGGATAATGAACATGGAACCCCGACAGCTTCGGAAATAAGCGAGTGCCTTGTCTCTCCCAAGCATCACCGAGTTGCTGGTACTGGTAGATTCCCACAGTCCGTGCTCAAAGATGGAGCTGAAATCCACAGCCGGTTTTCCCCTACTTTATTTGACTCTATCTAAGGAGAACAGACCGTCCCTAGCTACTGAAAAGACTCTATAGTGGAGTAGCAACCACAGAGGAATTAACTTAAGTTGTAACCAAACTCTTTGCGTCAATTATTATACGTCGCCTTGCGCATGCGCGAGACCCCAGTGTTCAGATCTATCCGAGCGTCAGCCAATTTGACCTGGGGCATACAGGGAACATTGCTTTCGTTTTCGAAAAACAGCAAGAAACCGATGCATTACCAGGAAACCTGAGACCATTCAGTCCTTCGGTATGTGCTTTCTAGCAAAAAACTGCAGTCATGCTGCGGGACATAGTCTTTGAACATGCCTCTAGGAACTCGAATAGTGATATCTAAATTGTGGAACACTATACGCATGTCGGAAGTTGGGTTCGTGTGACGAATGATGTGAGCGTACGAATCTCAAGTGCTAAATATGAGTTTCGCAATTCGCACCATCTCTAGCACGGCAAATGACGCGCGTATGAAACTACGGTGTGGGCTGTATTGCTGTGTGGCCACGAGTCTTGGCCATTTCGAATGAAGGATTTGAGAAATCCTCATGTCTTTGACCACGTATGTCTCGGATGTGCAGTGTTGAATACAGGGACAGCTGAAGGCACAGAGTTCCTTTTTCGATCGCTGGGTTTCATGGTCTTACATTCCTGCGGCACACCCTACATAAAGGAAATCGACCTTTGGTCAGTGAACAGCTCCGGTTGTTTCCAGGAGAGATAATGTTTTCATTCACGGATAGACTCTGATGGCATATGTTTCTTTCCTAATAGACGAGTTTTTTCGCTCGATATCGGTGTTCTAGAAAAGGTCACAGGCCAGCCATTCCGAGTCAGAGATGCAGCAATGGCAATGCATCAGGCGTCCGCCTCGACCATGGCGTTCCCTAACTCTCCTCAAATTTTCGATGGACTGTTGTACACCATCCGGCAGGGGAAGGGCCTTATTTTTGAAAAGCACACCGACTCTGTCACCATCATCGACAGATGTGTTCTACGCAAATGCCTCGCTGACGTAGGAGTATGATTTATTTGGAAGCCTTTTTTGAAGAAAAACCTGAAAGCGGACGGGGAGGGGACTTAGTTTCAGCCTACCACAATCATTCCGAGGTGCCTACATCTCCAGACATTCACTGGGGCAATTTAGATAGAAACTGGCAAGAACGCGATTGATGTCGATTAGCAGCCATATCTTGCAGCGTCTCCAACCAGGCCCAGTGTGAACCACGCGGTCCCCATCCTGGAAGACGAGTAGCACCGACAGCACCCAAACGTTTCTTAATCTCTTTCACGCTACTCTGCCAGGTCAAGGGCCCGCTACCTGTCTGCTTCTGCCACTCTGAATTGGATCCGGAAAATAGCACTCTCTTGCGCAAACAATGGTTCGGCATGCGCAATACATGGCCTAACAAGCGCAGCTCCTGGTTTTGGACACATTCTTCAATGGAAGTCCCTGTTCCACAACCGAAAGCTCACTTTCTAATTGCCTCGTTGCGAATTCTCACACACGAGCTACGGTCGTAGGACAACGATTGTCGGACACCTGAAGACGTCACAGTTCCGCTGCTCGAACAGGCCAAGCCTCACAGCAATAAACAAAAAAGCCCACACTGTAGCCTGATACACACGTCCCTTGAAATTCAGGGATATACCGCTTTGAAGCCACAGGTGTCTCCAATCGGCAAATGCGCCCCGGGCTTGCAGTTTCGTGTACTGACCTCATATGCAACACTATACTCAGAATTAGTACAACTTCCAAGGTATGTGAAACACTCCAGAACCCCGTGTCTCTCCTGGATTGTAAGTGGCGTGTTTAGTGACTGCATGTCCAAGTGCAAGACCTTAAACTTACTTCTGACATCCTGGTCCGCCGATGGTTCATTGAAGAACATAGGTAAGACACGGCGACTATCTTTACCAAACAGATTCCGCAACAATTTGATTCCAGATAAACATAATCTCACACAGAATGCAAGACTGGTAAGTTTAATTCAAAAAATGTTTTCCTCAATGCAATGCTCAATTTGTAATAATATAAACAGTCACCTAAATGCCAGACTGACCAAGCAACTGTTCCCGGTTTTCGCGATCCTGGAGCTTCTGTTCTTGTTTAAGTAGACTGGGACCATCACCAATATATCCACAGATTGAAAAGCTACCTTGAGCTATTTCAACGCCACTGTCCATGTCCCGCTTCTGTGGGTTGACAGAAGAAGTACGCCCATCATCTGGCGCTGAGGGATTCGTGGTAAGTGATAGTGCCATGTCTTGAACAGGTCGAGGGATAAGAGGTATGGCGGGGGATTTCAACAGCAAATTCCGTTGTTCTGGATTTACGGACAAGGCTAACTCTCTAGCGAGCTCAAGTTGTTTAAGCTAAAAGGCCAAAAGTAGAAATCCAATCCCCATAACTGATCAAATTTTGTATGAAATACCATAGTCTCACATTGACAACACGGATAAAATCCGTCCAGTAGGGAAACTCTAGATGATACTAGTCAAGGTCAACTAAAATCAAAAAGATTACATGCTGAAACTTACACACCCAAACGAGTAATAATGAGACCGACGCTATCTAAGAGCACTTTAATCAGTTACAGTGAATAAGTTATCTCTGTCAATAAAACTCCGACAATCTTTCGCCATCGAACTACCCCGAGGAACGTAGCCCATCCCGACTGGTGACGAAACGTTTGCAACAAAACTGGTCGGCTCAGTGAGCAGCCCAGTCAGTGATCATCACACAGGTGATTCTAACATTGAGAATTCCACGAATCATTTCCCGATAATGACGAACCATGAGACCCGCAGCGTAAGAAATGCGATTAAATCTTGAAATGCAGTATGCCCGTGATATAAATACTTGACTGTGAATATTTGATAACGGAGACCAATTTCAGTCGCGCGAGGAGTGATAGGGGTCCCAAGATCTTCCTAGTTCAACTGAAGTCATTGTCATTTGTCACACCGCTACTCTGAACTTGATGGTTTATTTCGTTGCCCGGTGCGCCAGCGACCACAAATAAGTGTCATTCAAACATCTGTTGGTATACTCACAAAAAGTGATAAACGATTGTTTAGTTGACCTCATTTTTCAGTGCTTCATGAAGTAAGAGAATTGGAATTTCAAGGAACATGTGTAATTGCCCCCCCTTTCTCAAGCATCCAAGAAGCAAGGATGATACAGTCAACTACATACACTGTTGTCCCTATATATTTACACAATTGTCCTTTGCGGGGATTAGAAACTGGGAAAACTAGAACACTTATAACAGACTCCTATTTAGTAAACACAAAAAGGACCACTGGGCTCTTTATGCTCGGTTGTAAGAAAGGGCTACATTTTAATGTCTTTCTTTGAGATAGTCACTGCTTGGAGGTTTATTGTAAAGGATAAGCGTACTTGAGAGTTACCGCAGTAACTAGTTCGCTTAGGGAGAATCACCTTAGTGGGCTACTGGTTGAGCTGCATACGAGGAAGGAAGTAGTTTGTTCTCAGTGATTTTGCAGAAAACTAGGGGGAACTACAGTCCTCCCATTGTCATATCGCCCCACCTAAATTGTCTGTTCGCATGAGCAATGGTAACAAACTTAAACAATAAACATGGCGTGGGTGCTCCGTTTTACTTGCAAAAACCTAGCCATATGAAATACACTCATGAAAAACGTCGGCAGTGTGCCGGAATATTGGTAGTTCATGTGTGTTGGTAGATGGTAAAGCGTGTGACTATTAATATGTGCACCGGGCTTGACGACTGGTTTGAAAAATCTGCCGCCATTCAAACAGATATAACTATCCGTGCTTGGATGATTTATTCTCGAACGGTAACCAGCTGATCGCCAAGCTCGGTGAAAGATTAACTACCAGTGAAAAAAACTAGTATCACCAAACTACGTTCAGTTTTCAGAATCTACTTGCAGAATTTATGTTACCTCATACAGAATCTGATGGCTTCACTTATGGTTGCGTTAAATTCTCCAATCATTGCTTGATGCCTCAGAACCAACAACATTTGAGAGAGTAAGCGCCTACATCGACAGGATTCTATTTTTTAGCCCGAAAACATGTATACGAAAAAATCGCGTCAGCCGGGTCGTGGCAAGGCAACGCAAAGTGGAGCCACTCATCACCAAATTGAATGCTTTCCGATATTTTCACCCTTATGGCAGATTCATTAGACCTCCCTTAAGGGCCGCTGGAACCTTCACAACAGATGAAATACAAGGGTTCCCAGCCGGCCACAATGATTAGGCAGATTATCTAAACCGCCTTGCTAAGTATAGGCATATTACGTAGCGTAAGGCGGGCAGCAACACAATGCTCCAATGGAGGTCAAAGGAAACTGTCCTATTGATACCGTCATGAGCATTGTGATGACAGGCTGAGTCCACTCAATGGTCGCTTAAAAAATGTAGTGTTTTTATCACTTCTAGGTTTACTCTAGACCATATGAACTGAGCTTCCTTTGGACCTCAAGTGAATGACGTCGGTCAATGGTAGAGTCGACGAACATACTACAAACGCATCACTCTTCAAGTGGTAGGTAAGATGGAATGACAGGAGAGTATATGGCACACCGATCTGAATCCACCGGACTTCGTCAGTCAAATTACTCTTACTGAAAGTAGTAAACAGAAACTACAAAAACCGGTGAACCAGAGTCAATACGAGTTGCGAGCAACATATCTTAAGATTTACTGAAGGTGTGTTCAATTCCGAAGGGACCGAACAAAATTTCGCAACGCAATACCCGGTCTATTACAACTCCTCTGTCAGAATCATTCATCGCATCAAATAAACAGTTGTTCACATCAAAATGAGGGGCCTTTTTACAAACGGTTATATCAAACACTACGACGGTAAGCCTTTCAAGGCCATGTCAATAACCCCTTTTGAATAAGCGGTCAATTAATCTTCCTCCTGTGCGCGAAACTGCTGTGTATACACACCATACGTGATGAAGCAAGATTTTCAAACGGAGACACTGTTGTCCTTGCTAAAAATAGCACCTAAGTTATTTAAATCTGTGGGCTTACATGCGTACAACTCACATTTACAAGGGGCAGTTATACAAGTGATATAGGGAAAATGGGGATTTAATGAACAAAGAGAGAATAAAAAGGTCAATTCCGGAGCTATTTAAAAAAACGGAGACGACAATACTATTGGACGGCATGATGAAGACGTACCCTGGACTGATAATGTCGAATATATTCAGTTGGCGGGCATTGCTCTGATCCCAATAATTCTCTCAGCAACTTCTGCAACGCAACCAGGTAGCGCTCGAATCGTATTTCGTTAGCCTTCTCGGCAGTGGCCAAGTCTTCCGTGTGGTGCAGAAGACGGGCAAAATTCATTTCGATAGTGCAAGACATTGTGGCTAATCAGCTGAAACCAGATGGCATCGCCCGGTAAAATATCTGAAATGGACTAAAATTACACGAAGACAGCGTCAACCTAAAAATTCAGCTCAATAGGGTGACCGAACTGTGCACATAACTGAGCAGAAGTGTGCTAAAATGAAGGGATAACAGCAACCTCACCATCAACTGCAGCATTTTAGTAACACATTACAGCTTAGATGCCGTACAATAATGTGTCCTGGCAGACGTTTGAAAGGTGATGGGGTCCTTCGTCAAAAAAGGATGTGTGACACCAAGGAAAGTGACCCGGATGTAGCCAAAAAAGAGGCTATACCTTCGAACATTGAAGTAAACACTCCAGAACCACGTCTGATTAAGATATGGCCCAGTGTAGATGGTCGTTGGCTTGTTCGCTGAGCTGGGCAATTTAGTTGCAAACGTTTCACCACCAATCGAGGTGACATCATCAGTGCGTAGTTGTGCTTAGCGGTGGGTTAGTGGTTGTTGTTGGTTGACAACCACTAACCCATCGCTACGCACAACTACGCACCGATGATGTCACCTCGACTGGCGGTGAAACGTTTGCAACTAAATTGCCCAGCTCAGCGAACAAGCCAACGACCATCTACGCTACCTGAGCTACCGACATTCTCCTCTATGGCCCACCGTGTTTTACAAACCCTACAGAACAAACGCCTAAAGCACAACGACAGAGAAACTCTAGCTAGGCCATTATGTTGGAAGGCGACACTGGAATCTCCGCTTGAATCAATTAAGATCCTTCTTCTGTGAGGCTTCCAACAGCATACGTGATCCAAAAACCAGGGCGCAAACACTCCACTCGGCCCCAGAGGTGAACGGACTATGCTGGATTCCAAGACAAAATGGTCGCTACATAGTTCGGTGTGTTTCTTTTACCTGAATTGTCAGTTTTATGCTGCCTGGCAAGACGTTTACTGGTGACATAGTCGAAATCAGCACCGGATGAAACCATCACGATCACCGAATGAGAGCGTGAGCTGCAACAATCCTTCTGCTGCAACCCTACTGGAGAATAATGAACTGCGCTTTGCCGCCGGTAGCTGAAGACTGCCATCGTTGTCTAGCAGCAGGGGAAGCCACGTACCAACAAGGTGCCACAACTGCGCCCGAACCCTAATGAGCAGCAACCGTTTACCAAGATTGTTGCACAGGGTACTCACCCTGATCGGAAAATTTTTGGTCCGTTGATATGATTCTGATGAACTGAGACGCATAGTTGAGTCGACATCTCTAGCTATCAAGTCTATAACTTCGTTGTAGTTCGTTGACAGAAGCCCACTCATATATTTGTGCGGGGCCATTTGGAGCTCCCAACCACTACCGCCTATGCTTACACACCACCCGCATGTATGAGACAGGACAAACTCATGGCCAACGCATATTATTCACAAAAACATTAGACAGTGTGAGGAAAGCACCAGCATTTGAGATTGAACACTATTGTGTGCATGGAGTCCAATGTGAGACATCACCTTAAAGCATGAAGGCTCAAAGCTTGAATAACAAATGCTCATGAAGAATATTACCAAGAGCCTTGCTAAAATGAAATCCGGTTAGCTCCTGGTATCCACAGAGACATTCGCTTATTTCCTAAAAGGAAGGGTTGGTAATATGTGGGTAGAATAGCCGTGCTGCTTTGATGTCCAGGAACGAACTTACCCACTGTGTTATCCTGTGTTGGGCCCTAGAAATTTTCCACCATTTTGCCAATCGCCTAAGTCAGATTAAAGGGATGGTTTCAAGGGGCGATAATCTCGCCAATACAACTGCTTTCATCACCGATCATCAAAAAGCTTGGGACGGCGTGCTAGCCGAAATCGGATAAACGAATTCGGTGTATGAATGCAGACCAGTTGAGTCCCGAGCGGTACTCACGTCCAGCGTATCAAGAGCTAGAGTGTTTCTTGAGACATCGAATTTGACGGCTACAATTTCTTGTGGTGTAGACTCTGGTTTGGCGCAAGCGCAGAATAATTCTGAAAAGTATCCACGCTCATCACACTAGTCCACTCGATAGTCCAACAAGCTGGCGAGGGGTGAAGTTCTATCACTCAGCTACAACATCGTTTTGATACCTAGCTGCCAAGTCACCTGAAGAAAGCACGAAAACTAAAGTACCACCAGTTTGCCAAGGCTTATAGGGGAGCAGTAAAAAAGACCCGGATGTTTGGTTCGAATCACTATTCCTTCGGTCAGTATGTTCACTGACAACACTAATGATGTTGTCTGTCTTTGGTTAGAGGTGCGAGCAACACAATCCTGGTCCTACATGTTGGGGGCTGGAACACCCGTAGCTATTTACCCGGGAAAAATGGAAAAACTTACGTTGCCCGCCAAATGTCACTACCATGCTCTCAGGCTTTGAGCCAAACCCGGGAAAAATGGAAAAACTTACGTTGCCCGCCAAATGTCACTACCATGCTCTCAGGCTTTTGAGCCAAAGGCCTTGGTTGAGAAGCCAAATCGTACTCCTATTCAGGCCACGATAACCAGGACAACAAGCGGATCTTGTTCGGACGTTCGATTCATTCTTCACTGATTTAGGTTGTTTTTCGGAAACAAAGATACAGGACTCAGGTACTGTAAATGAACTGACTGCCCCCTCGCTGTCTTCTAGATTCCGGGTGCGCACCTATAGTGATGCATATGCCATTGCAGTTGGATGTTCTGGGGTGAATATTGTATTGAGCGAGCGAGTGGATGCGTCTCTACTTGATTGAATGTCCGTTGATAGTCGCCTTTGCGCGGCTTGTTTGCCAACCTCTGCGAAAGAATATCCAGAAAGCGCGGTCCGTCGCAAACTTTTTATTGTGTCTGCTAATGCCTCGGCTGACTAGCCTTCAATCTGGCAGACAGTTTCTATGACACTGTATTTTACGACAACCTAAATGTTCATCGTGGCGGTTGCTGGTGACATAGACGCTCAAATAGGTAGACTAAGCATGGCCGAGGCCCGATTGGGTGGTCACCTTGGATCGAGAGGCACGGACAACGGAGAGCGCCTGCATCAGATGTGTGCCGTTGTACTACCGATTGCCGGAATAGCGGAAATTGCTTGAAAGCATGATGCTCACCAAAAGAACCAGCCCCGAATCCGAACAGACCACATCACTGCTACCGCTAAGAAGCCAAATCGTACTCCTATTCAGGCCACGATAACCAGGACAACAAGCGGATCTTGTTCGGACGTTCGATTCATTCTTCACTGATTTAGGTTGTTTTTCGGAAACAAAGATACAGGACTCAGGTACTGTAAATGAACTGACTGCCCCCTCGCTGTCTTCTAGATTCCGGGTGCGCACCTATAGTGATGCATATGCCATTGCAGTTGGATGTTCTGGGGTGAATATTGTATTGAGCGAGCGAGTGGATGCGTCTCTACTTGATTGAATGTCCGTTGATAGTCGCCTTTGCGCGGCTTGTTTGCCAACCTCTGCGAAAGAATATCCAGAAAGCGCGGTCCGTCGCAAACTTTTTATTGTGTCTGCTAATGCCTCGGCTGACTAGCCTTCAATCTGGCAGACAGTTTCTATGACACTGTATTTTACGACAACCTAAATGTTCATCGTGGCGGTTGCTGGTGACATAGACGCTCAAATAGGTAGACTAAGCATGGCCGAGGCCCGATTGGGTGGTCACCTTGGATCGAGAGGCACGGACAACGGAGAGCGCCTGCATCAGATGTGTGCCGTTGTACTACCGATTGCCGGAATAGCGGAAATTGCTTGAAAGCATGATGCTCACCAAAAGAACCAGCCCCGAATCCGAACAGACCACATCACTGTCAGCTACCGCTAGCGATGGTCGATCACTGCCCGCCGCTCGTTCTGGAGTACAAGCGTGGACTCCGATCACTCACTTATCCGCTGCTGCTTTCTATTGCGCCTTTCAAGTTTATACGATATTCACACACCTCACTTAACCATTAGGAAGCTGGTGGACCCAGAGATCAATCCAGCCTATCAGAACCGTCTCCTCGAACGACCGTCGAACGATGCCGGATACTAACGGGGGTGAGATGGCTCAAGTGGGTAGAGGGTGAATTTGCTTACCGAAAGGTCCGTTGTTCGAACCCGACATCTGCATCCCGACCTTCCCTGTCTAGACTTGGGCAACCTGAAAGTATCTCACCCCTTGTTTCCTTCGCGTGGTATGCCAGATAGACATCGGGTGTTGCAGCTGATCGATTTATACTTTCTTTATTGATGGCCACTGGGAACAGATATCTAAAGCGCTACTCAAGGCATACGTTTGCCGTACAACCCATCCAACCTTACCCAAAATTGGGCCTTTGATAGGACAACTGCTTTGTTCGAGGCCCACTGACATTTCTCCTGGCCACAACTATGACTCAACCCGACGTATCGTCCGAAGCCAGGTGAAACTGAGTGTTCGCGTGTTAGGAACGTCAGCTTCCTGAAAGCAACCACTGAATGCCCGAAATCTACCGAGAATCTCTGCTCCGCTAGATGTTGACCAGCGCCCCCTCAATATGCAGCGCGTCACAGCCTTGTATCAAACCCAGACAGCGCGAGTCAGCGTTGATCAAGGTCAGCCAACGCCCCGCGATATGCAGCACGTCGCAGCCAGACCGTGTGCATCAGCATTGGACCGAGTTCAGACAGTGTCACTCCAATAAGTAGCTTGAGACCGTTGTACATTCGCACTTGCACGCACTCACGCTCTCCCACCCGCTTTGTTGGAATATAGCTGTTGTGTTCCCTTCCGTGAGTCTTTTCTCTCCGACACTAGGCACTGGATCGGGTCAGCAGCAGATACCTCAGATTGGCGAATCAGCATATATAACAGTCCGAATGGCCGCAGAACTGAGAGACGCGAGAAATGCTGGAAACGTCCGCAATCCGTTACATTTAATTCGTTTGACTGGGTCCCGGAAGCCTCATGTCAGCGAAACTATCAGCGACCAAACTAGCTATTGACATCAAGCCAAAGAGAACACTTGGGTTGTTGGGCACGGTACTTCGAGCAACCATTCATTCGGCCATCTGCCCCCTATAATCAGAATTGCCGGGTTTCAACAGAAAGGGGGATTGTGAATATGGAGCACCGTTCAGCCTCAGAATTGTCCAAGACAGCTCGAGAAAGCCCAGTGATTAAGCAGGTCTGTAGTTCAAACCCAACCCCGTCATCTCGACTGTTCCTTCGTTCGGTGGAAATCCACATAGACTCCTCTTAACCCCTCACACTCAGCTGCTGCTAGGGCCGAGAAGTCCAACCCACACAAGATTGGCCAAAAATCCGAGACGCTTGCCGGTC